CTGGTGAAGAAGCTCCCTGATGCCGTTTGGGATCATGGATCAATGAGTTGTATCTTCATCTTTTTTTTGAAGATGCCAGGTTACCACTTACCAGCTGAGGTATTCTAACATGTTTATTGTTGCTTCAATTTCAAACCTGTAATTGTAATTGCTCTTTCAATATGGGACTGGTGTTGGTTTATTTGTTTTAACATTTATTGCATATATTAATCATTCTTATAAAAAGTCTTTAATCATCATTGAATTAGAAAAGATTAACCCTTTTTTTTTTTCAACTTTTGTTGTACAGATCCAAGATGGATCCTGGAAGCCAAATATCATGCTTGGTAACTCAGGTGAGAACTGTTGCATTAATAAGTGATTTGGTTCTGTCTGCTAATAAATTTAAACAATTTCATTCTCCATGTCACTGGCTTTTTAATAGGCACTGACTCTCAGGATGAGATTTTGGCTGGGGGATGTTATTGTATAAGTATTCTTGCTGGTTATTTGTGGATTAATCTTGACATCTCTGCTAAAGAAAGTGTAGCGAATCTATTGATGGTACCTGTGCATGTCTGGTGTTTGCAAGACATGCTAAATCATTATGACTGAGTAAATGACTGAATGCATCAATAAACTGGACGGGCTGGTTACAACTTGAAACCACTTTGTTTTGTGTTGTCTGTATCCAAAGTGCTTGAAGTTTTTGTGTCTTGATTATAGCATATATATGTATTTGAATAGGACCTTACTACTTTTGTTTGCATCATCTCCACACAAATACATTTTAAGAAGTCAGACATTGTAGACTGGTGTGATAACCTTAACTTAAGAAGTTTAATGGAACACTTCTTTTGCATTTTTGTGGCAAAATCTACCTCGTTGACCATTGCTAAGCATGCTTTCATTGTATTTCACATGGTTGGTTCTTTCCTGTTGCCTTGTTGTGTCTTATGCTAGCTGAGAAGTTTTAAGCCAGAGGTGTTCAAAACAGCTTTATTAATTTTTTCTTGTGGTTAACTGTACTAACAGTCTTTAGCTGGTGTGCCTAATTATGCATGATTTGAGCCTTTCACATTTAATATCTTGTTGTATTCTAATTTTGGATATTTTCAATAGAAATTCCACATGTGATTTCCTGTTTAAGAAAGATTTGTCTTTTTGACAGACAAGATAGCTGCTTTATCACCATTGAAGCCACTGTCAAATCTAGCCAGAGACCAAGAAGGGAAGCTAGGCATGGGGGGAATTTCTAAAGGACTAATTTCCAGTTTGTCTGAGAGTTCATGCAATTCAGTGGATCCCCATCCAAAATCTTGGTCTGACTTGTATATCCTAACAGTAGCAAATAATATGAATGGAAACAGGACCAACACCAATTTGATCCAGCATGAAAGCAGTCTGTTCTCTAGCTCATTGTCAGAAATATTTAGTAGAAAGCATAAGATATCCTCTTTATGCATTCTGAGCGTGTATGTTCTTGATGTGTTTGATCTGCTCCTCTCAGATTTCCTAAAAGAAGATACTTTATTGGACTTAATGCTTGATGGTTCGACAGATAACCCTTTTAATTTGCCAGTGTAGTGCTCCAAACATTAATGGCAAACGTAAGTGTAGAAGTACAAAATGACTTTTTTATTTGTTATTATTTGTCTCTCTATGTCCCAGGCGTTTCCTCTTAAACATTAATGTCAGAAAATCAAGCATTTCTGTAAAGAAATCAAAAATAGTTTTAAAAATCATTCTATTTGCCTAATTTCCTGTCTGATTTGTGCTTTAATTTTCTTATCTTTATGTGGTGCAATTATTGAGGAATGATGCTCCAACTCTTGTACCTAGCTTTAAGGTTGGTTAGACCATGAGGAAGAACCTTTAGAATCCCTTGAAGAAATTGAGGTGCAGACCATTGGAAATCTCCTTCCTGACAAAGATGATCTTTTTTCTGGAGTAATGGGACTTGATACTCCTGCCAATAGGGGTAATGAATTAGAGGATTTTGACCTATTTAGCAGTGGTGGGGGCATGGAATCGGAAGGTGATGATCTTTTAGGTGTGGGTCAAGGAAACTCAGATATTGTAGGAGCATCTAATGGTTCAATTGTTGGTGGACACCCTTCTAGAACACTTTTTGTGAGAAACATTAACAGTAATGTTGAAGATTCTGAACTCAAGGCACTTTTTGAGGTCTGTATTCCTTCTTTTTTTTACAATATTTGTTGGAATCTTTGTCTCCTCTTATGCCCTGTGGGAACATTTTTAAGCAAATTGGATTGATGGTTGTTTCCTGTCAGCAATATGGAGATATCCGTACTCTCTATACAGCCTGCAAGCATCGTGGTTTTGCCATGATTTCTTATTATGATATAAGGGCAGCCCAAAATGCAGAGAGAGCTCTCCAAAATAAGCCATTGAGGCATAGGAAACTAGATATACATTATTCTATTCCAAATGTTGTCATTGCTGTTACTAGCTTCATTTATTTGGTTCTTTCATCTTGGTGTAACACTTAGTCTGATGAATTTTTTCTTTGCTTGATAACACAACAGGATAATACATCTGAAAAAGACGTCAATAAGGGAACGCTGGTGGTTTTCAATCTTGATGCCTCTGTTTCAACCAATGGGCTTCAACAATTTTTGTGTTTTTGGAGAAATTAAAGTAAGTATGTGGTTCAATGGGTTCCTTAGGTTTACATTCACTTTTAATAGAGTGATGAGTATTGTGGTTAACTCTGCTTTGCTGATCCATGAGATTTCACCTGAGCAAAATCACAAATTCATTGAGTTTTATGATGTTAGAGCTGTTGAAGATGCTCTTTGTGCATTGAATAGGTGTGACATTGCTGGGAAGCAGATCAAAATTGAACCAAGTCCTCTAGGGGGTGTAAGACGGTATTATCATTTGCCAGCACTATTTTCCTTTCTTTTTCACTGTTTTAGGGAAATGGATTCTAGCTTTTTAATAGGGAGATGAGAGCTATACACTGTTTTCCTGTTCTGGGCCTGAATGTGGAAAGGTTTGTATTACCCCTTATATGATGGTGGATGATTTTACTTCCATTGTCATATTCTGCTGTTAATGTTGAACTATCAATAACACACAATCAATTCTTTGGGTGCCATATAATATGCAATTAGTATAATTGAGCTATTTCCTTTTACCTTTTGTCCTTTTAATTTTACCTCTAGAAGTAGTAGATATATGAAAAGGATTTCCTTTTTGCAGTTTTATGCAACTTTCAGACCAAGGGCAAGATGAATCTAGTAATCTCTGTCAAAGTTCTTTGGATGACTTGATGGCAAGACGCGTGGGTATGGTTTACCTATTAATTGTTTATTTATTCTCATCGATTATTGGTCATTTATTTTAAGTTGTTTTCTTAGTACTTATTTTCTGTTATTTCATTATCATTTACTGCAACAGCTGGGGTAAGTGCATCTGGCTACATGGATAATGGATCCAGCCCAATATTACATAATGTTATACGGTCACCTGTGAATACATTTATTGGACCTAGTCAAAGTTCTAGTGGTCCAACCATCTTGCCTTCTCCTGCAAAAGTGGCATCCGTTCACAACCAATTTAACCTTCGGGAGCCAAACCACACTCTAGATGTAATGAAGTTCCAGAACCAGTGCATTACAAGTTTCCATCTCCAATCCTTTCCCGAGTATCATGATAATTTAGCCAAAAGCCCTCCATCTAACTCCTCAAGCACCATTCCGGACATGGTTAACAGTTTTGTTTCCCAAATGACTGATGGACTTGATAATAGGAGCATTCATGGAGTGAGCCCAAATGGGCAGTTGATAGAACCTAAGGGAGGGGGTAAGTTATCTTGGTTAGATTTTACCATTGACAATTTTCACATAATTGTGTCACTTCTGACAACTGAGATAGAGAAAGCAACTATAATTTTTAAGAGAACTCAACTGCTAGTATTCTTTTAAGGTGTTCAGTTGACTTATTAGCTGATTCATTCTCTCTAGTTTTTGGATCATCTAGTAATGGGAGCTGTTTGCTTCATGGAAATCATTATGCATGGAACAACTCCAACTCACATCAGCAGCACCCTTCAAGTGCCAGGATTTGGCCCAATTCGCCCTCTTTTGTCAATGGTGTTCGGCATATGCCTGCATTTCCTAGGGTACCTCCTGTTATGCTGAATCCAGCATCACCTGTACACCACCACATTGGGTCAGCACCACCGGTTAATTCACCATTACGGACAGGCAACATGCCTATGCTGGGAAATCTCCTGACACCTCCAGTTTTCACTTAGGATCTGTAAGGAATGTTGGATTTCCTGGTAGTTCTCCATCACACCCTGTGGAAATTGCTTCCTACAACATTTTCTCACATGCTGGTGGAAACAATGGTGTGGTACACTCTCCTTAGCAAATGTGTCACCTTTTCCCTGGAAGAAACCCTGTGATATCCATGCCAGGTTCTTTTGAGTCTCCCAATGAATGTGTGAGAAATTTCTTGCAGCATAGAAATGAATTGAATTTTAATAATGCTGATAAGAAACAATATGAACTTGACATTGACTGCATCATACACGGGGAAGACAGCAGAACAACGATGATGATAAAGAACATTCCAAACAATTATGTGAATGATTGTCCTGTTACACCAGCTATTTTATTCTTTATTTACTTCATCTTCTAACTTTCTAGTTATACATTTGTCATTTGATTTTAATATTTTTCTTTATGTTGAAACCGTCATATGATGGAACATTTTTTCCTTCACTAAGGTCATGTCTAGTTATACATTCCTAACTTCCTATGGAAATTTCTTAATTTTTAGCTTGTTTTCATAGTTTCACCTAGGAATAGCCAGTCCCACCAACCAAACAAGTCCTAAAGGATCTAGAACCTGTAGATGTTGTGACTAGGACCAATAGCAATTGACTTTGAAATCACAATTGAAATTCCGTTAGTTTTGTTTATATTTTTTACAGTACTGTGTGAGTCATTTTAATGACCATAGTCTATAATGTTGTTAAAGTAAATCCAGTGTTGGTGGTGAATGATTGATAATTACATCATATGTGATACTATACCTGTTGTTTGAGGCCAAAAAGAAAAAGAAAAAGAAAAAGAAAAAAAGCACCATTCTGTTATGGATACTTTTGCCTCTTGTTTCCCCTTTTTCCTTATCTACTTCGTTATCAATCTGATAGCCTTTTTTATGCAGGTATACCTCAAAGATGCTTCTGGCTGCAATAAATGAGCACTGTCAAAGGAACCTATGATTTCATTTATTTGCCAATTGACTTCAAGGCAAGTAAATTAATTTTTTGATGAGCTCGTCTCGCCCTGAAGTGCCTTAGGCTGGGGTGATTGGAGGTTGAAGAAATCCTCATTTCTAACACTTGTTATGTCCTTATTATGAAAGAGCATATATTTCTTTTTCTAACTTGAGACTTGTGAATATTGTCAACAGAATAAATGCAACGTTATGCATTCATCAACATGATTGATCCACGACAAATTATTGCATTCCATAAGGTTTGATATGGGATTAGATGTTGTACTGCTTTTTCATATTTACAAAGATATTTTTTCATGTTAATGTGTTATTAAACCAATTTGCAGGCATTCAATGGCAAAAAATGGGAAAAGTTTAACAGTGAAAAAGTGGCATTGCTTGCATATGCTAGGATTCAAGGAAAAGCTGCTCTTATTGCCCGTTTCCAAAACTCAAGCTTGATGGACAAAGATAAACAATGCCGTCCTATTCTTTTTCATACTGACAGTCCGAACGCTGGCGATCAGGTAGGTCATCATGTCAAACTAGCGAAGTAGCTCATAAAGTCTTATCACTTATTTGGTTTGAGGGAAGGGATTGAAATTTCCCTATTTGGATAAAAAAAATTGAAAGGGGGGAAATGGAAGGAAACAGAGGGGAGGGGAGGGAAGGGAAATGGACTCTGTTTCCATTTCTCTCAAACCAAACAGGGGGTTAAGGTTTAATAACTTGTGCTACACAGCATGAGTGATTGCATTAACTCAT